AAAGATTAATGCTGGGGGTGGCTGCGGTATTTAGCAACAGTAAACTGGTATTATATATTATTCATTTTGCCACAGAGCACGGAATAAAAATATCTATAAATGAGCATTATAGCAAGACAAGCAAAGTTTGGGAGTGCGACGCACGACAAAGCGGAAGCGCACCCAAAAAACTTGAACCTGCTCTCATACACAAGCACTCTCCATCAGCATCGAATGACACTTCGTTGCTTAGGAACGCAAAGCGTTAGTAATATATCAGAAGTAGATGGAGGGTCGACCGGCGAAACATAATTCAAGCTATTTATCAGTACCTTCTGATATGGGACCAGTACTTATATATACACGAGGTCCCAAAGTTTGGTTAAAATCCAAGAAAGGGATTCACTTGTGATGAATGGTCCATTCGCCCGGTTTTTTTTTGCGGCTGCGGCAAAAACAATGGCAGCGGGCCGGGCAGAAAAAAGTTGTGGCGGGCTGCGAACATGTGTCTTCTGCGGGCAGCCCAAGAAACTCCGGCGTGCAGCGCGTCGCCCACAGCCGCGCCAGTAAGCCTGCCGGCTGTTTGCGCGCCGGGCCGCCGCGGCGCCGATACTGCCCCGCTAGTTGCTGCGGGCGGCCGCGCCTCGGACTCGGTCGCGCCGCAGCTCTGGCCGAGCTTGCTGGCGGGCGGCAGCAGCGGAACCGGGCCGCGCCGCATACTGCCGGACTGTTCTGCGGCGCGCGCGCGAGACGCCGCGGGCCGCATACTCTGTGCGTGTTCTGCGGGCGAGCGCGCGAGGACCGCCGCGCCGCATACGCCAGGTTGCTGTTCCTGGACGGCGCGCAGGCGGAGCGGCGGGACACGGGCTCGCGCCGCATAAAATGCCCGCTTAGTTTCTGGGCGGGCGCCACCAAGGGCGTGGCGGAACGCGCGCCGCATAGCTGCCCTGTTTCGACGGCGACCCCGGCGCCGCCAACGAAACCGCCGGCAGCGCAATACTGGCCGTAAGCCGGCGGGCGGAAGCGCGTATATACGCGTTCGTGACTTAACTCGCGGCGGCTGTATTTCATCATCGCGCCTCACGGCCCCTGTTAGCAAAAGTAAATAGAATTCTGCAATTTTTCATGAGAATATAAAGAGAATATAAAAAAATTCAAATCATCATGTCTTTGCCTCTTGGCGGGTTGGAGTGGATTTTCGAATGAGTTCCTCCTGCAGATGTTTTATTCGTTCATCGATGTCTTGGAGTGAATGACTTTGCCTCCCTGTCAAGTCTCTTCTTGCCGGGTGCTCTACTTTTAATCTTTTCGGCATGGTAGCCTAAATGGGCAGCAATAATAAACTTTTTTGCTTTGGTAAATGCAGACAGTTATTATTTTGCACTGCAATATATATATATATATATATATATATATATATATATTAATATAGTATGTTAAAGGTCTAGTTTTACATGTAGTTTGTATATATAAAAAATATAACTTACAATAACTTGTGAATACTCTGGTGAAATTCCTTCCAGGTATAAGATCCGATTTTCCAATTTCTTCAACCTTTCATAGATGTTGCTATCCGCACCTTAAATGCATAAAACACAAATAAATAAACTATATATATATATACATTAACATAGATAGACAGATTAAGAGACAAACGAGAGGGGGCGAGGGGAGAGGACCACAGAAAGAGATAAAAGAGAGAGAGAGAGAGAGAGAGAGAGAGAGAGAGAGAGAGAGAGAGAGAGAGAGAGAGAGAGAGAGAGAGAGAGAGAG